TTCCTAATCCCCGCGACGGTTAGACATAGAAGATCCGATCTGAAGATTGGTCATGCGAGCATCTCCGGCAGCAGACAGAAGTTACGTGGCGGATTCCAACATTCGCTCCTGAGCTGAAGACAGAGATAGTAGCTCAGATAATGCTCTTGCCTTTGGCTGCCATTAAAGGACTGCTAGAGCTCGACACGTAAAGCTTGCCGCACAACAGAACGTTTGATCAAACCGGTTTAATCGAACCGAACTCAGTTCAATCTTCGGCAATAGACTCGGTTTGATAAAACCAAGATCTTTGTTCATCTCCAACCATCAATATAAAAAGATTACAAATTTCTGAGAGACTGACAAATGGTAAACAAGAAGATTGATACTTTGTTAAGGTAAAAATTGAGATGTGTTCTTATTACAAAGGAGAAGGAAAAACCCAATGATAGATAGATAGACATTCACTGGAACAAGTAGAGGAGATTTGGGTATGTTTCTTCTTCTGTACAACACCATTCTTAAATCTTAAAAAGACTCAAATCTTTACCAAAACAAAGAGAAAAATAGAACTAACAAGAAACGTAACACAAAGGAACCAGATCGAACTAGACGCTGCAACGTCATCTAGCAATGCGGTTGCTCTGCAACACTCTATTTGATCACGAGTTCCTCTCAGGTTACCTTTAAGGTCATAATCATTAGACTTGGTGTAAGGTTCTTGTCCTAAAGACATGCCACCCTTTTAGATCCAAGGAGAAGTAGATATGTAATTGAAGGAAAATCGTTTCTCTACGCTTTCTGCAATGTCCGAGAGGACACCCCGTGTAAGAGTCTGACAAATCCCAAGAAACTTAGTTTGCCATCAGAATGTCTTATCCAATCTTGAAGAACCACCTGAACTGGGACTGATGGACCAAGTCCGAGTTCCTGTGAACATAACAGATTTACAAAAACGTATCACTAACCACCCGAAGACATCGATACTACCACATCTCTAGGTGGATAGAAAAAAGGGGAAACTTTCATACCGATGCAAGTTCTTCGATCATGATGACTCTGTTCCCATCCTTCTCAAACAGCTCATATGCACGGCGTGCGTGCTGCTCCCAAGTTTCCATTGCTTCTAGCTGATAAACACTTAAAGCCGAAGCGCAAAATTCTTCAAAGTCTAGTTTCTTGTACTGGAGACAGCTAATCTGCAATCCAAAAAGTGTTTAATTACCATCTTAACACACCAAACATAGTGAATATAACTTGGTCCTTATCGCCTTACCATATGTACAAAATCCAAGACTCTCGAATCCTTTGTAGCCTCTGTCACGCTTTTCACAATCGCCTGCAATTTGTAACTACACTGTAAGAAAACAGAAAGATACCAGAATGAAGAGAAGACGTTCAAATGAAATTGAAACTCACTGTTTTGTAATTTTGCATCGAGATATATCCGTTTTTGCTCGGTCCTAACAGATTAAATTGCTCCCGCAGATAAGTCAGCTGCGGTACAGTTAATGTTTTGGCAAGTGCCTGCAAACATGAAAAAAACTGTTACCAATTTTTCATTCATTAGACCAGAGGCTCAAGGTAACTGCTGAAGAATCCAACTCACCGATAATGCCGATTTCCTCAAAGAAGAAGACATTATGTACACTTTTACGAGCTTGTAAATGATCATGTCAGATGGTATCTTTAATTCATGTGAACCAGTCAGCCACGGATGGCCTGAGAGATAAGAAAAATCATTCAAATCTAGTTAAAAAATCAGA